GATCATCAATCGTGCGAACTTTCCAGGGGCCCGCCCCCTCGGAGCGCGGATATCATTGCGGTCGGGGCATCGCCGCCACGATGCATACCTGTTCCCAGATCCCAGATCCTCGCAGCCAGCGCTCGATTGCCAGCGAAAGAAACCAAGCCAAATGGCCAGCCGAAAATAAAAAGGGCAAATCAGCGTGTAAGATGCCGGGTCGTTCCTCTTCGGGGCCATAAATTTTAAAGTAATTTTCTCTTGGCCCGCGTAATTTATGGGAAAATATTGAGCTGCCCCAAATACCCCAGATCCAGACCCAGATCCAGACCCAGATCCAGATCGGGAACCCAACTAGCCCAGACAACCCACTTTCGACCCCGAAAACTAGCCAAATAGAGTAATTAAACCGGCGGTTGACCTGCTCTCCTAAGCACTGCGATAATCCGGGCTGGTCGAGGCCATTCCAGCTCTTGGCTGGCTACTCCCGGCTGGACCGGCTGAGTTATGGGCACCGGCACCCCGTCCACCTGGAGCTCGGGTCACGATTATCTGCATACGCAGCCGGCAATAATAATCTCGAAATTGGCGCACTTAAGCGAGGATCCTCGGCAGGCGTAATTTGAAAGTTATTTTGTTGCCGCTGCGGCGAAATTATTGAGCAATATGCTGATCTGTAAAATCATAAATAAAAATATTTGTACTCGACCGCACCGGAGCCCGGGACTCAGACTCAGGCATGGGCATCCAGCGCATCTGCTCCTCGGACGACTTTTGTGTTATTAGGTGAGAGAGTCGCTGGATGCCCAACTCTGGCTCGGATCGCGAGTCTCCGCCCGCGGCTCAGCGATTGATAAAGTCTTTTTATTTACAAGCTGATAATGATGGTGTAGGTGCAGCTTTTGGCATTGCGACGGTTTTCCTGCAATTTATGAGCAATTTGCAGACGATTTCCGAGGCCCGCGCCTGTGGAATGCGCGGCAAGTGGAGGACTGACCCAAAGATCTGGTCAGTGCGCCTTCAAGGGGGCAAGTTCGGTCAAGTGAAAGATCTACAAACGGAATTTATGGCACTAAAGCCCCAAATAGTGCTGGCCAAGTGAAAAACTTTCAATTGGAATTTATGCTTCTACTCTTCCTGCAGCATGTGTATATCTGGGTTTTTGATTTATGCTAATTTAAATTGTTCCACTTTGCGCATGTTCCTGAACTTACGCTGCTTACCCTTCCAATCCCATCCAGCACGCTTCCAGCGCGCTGACCGAGAACCGAAAACTATTTTGTAGTATTGATAACCATCTCGGTGGGGAATGGAGCCCGGGCAAGCCATTAAAATGTCACAACAAAACGCCGAACTCATTTCTTGATGCGGCACTGGGCCACAAGCGACCATTAAACCTGCAACTTGATGGGAAGCTATGCTGCCTCCCCTGAAAACAGAAGACTCCGCGCACGAACTAAACGCACCAAATAGCCAAAAGTGTCAACTGCGGAACGGCAGGGCCAAGAACGAACTGTGGGTAAGCCGATTATAGGCCACGACTTTCGGGAACGGAACGCACATAAAAATGTCGCTGGCGGAGATGTCCGATCTCCGGAATCGTGTTAGGCGTGCTCCGCGGCTCAGGAGGTGGGGCTCCCTACCACTGTGGCGTTGGTGTGCATGTCACCTACTTCACCTCCAACTCCTCCACTCCAACTCCTCGTTCTGTCTGCGTTGTTATTGCTTGTGTCGCTGCTGATGATTGTCATTAACATCACATTACCACAAGTCAAAGTCATGTTTTTGATCCCCAATAAAGCCCTGAGCTCAGAACTGGGATTCAGCGAGTCAGACGCATAGTCGGCACTTGGCTGGAAAGTTATGGAGCAGAGATGAGATGGGAGGCGCAACCACAAGAATGTGGGGAAAAAGGCCAGGTTCCAATGCTATCCAGTGCTGGACAGCAGATACACCTCGTTGGCCAGCGGGACAAATCTGTTATGACACCTGACTGCGGGCCAAGGGTTCCCAGAAGAAGGAAAGGGGTACCAGTTGGGGATATGAGGTACAATGGTCACGAGGGCTTTTACTTTTGACCACACTATAACCATAATTGTCAATAAGCCCAAGCGAAGCCCTGAAGGCCATCAAATCTTTATGCGACCAGTCGTGAATGTGTCAAATCTTTCCGCTTCTATCCAAACTTAGTGAGATATTATCTTCTACACGGCGATCTGCATAATTATGCTAAGCACATTAAATCCATTCATAAATCTCCTGGCAATCGTCATCCACAAAGGGAACACCTCGGCGAGAACTTCGATGGCCAGATATGAGCTATTATTCATGTCCCGCAGAGCTCTCGCTCTCATTTGTATTTGTCCAGGTCTTTTGTGGGTGATAAAGCCCAGCGGGCTGAATTTACGATCTTGGCCAGGGCATCACTGAAATAAAATCAATAAACCAGTCGCTGGGCACAGCCAGAAATGATGCTTAAGATGCAAATTATGCAGATGAGTCGAAACCAAAATATTCGAACATCGAAATTCACCTGCCCGGCGAAATCATATTTCTTGTTGCCCAATCGTTGGAGGCGTGGCCCCAAAACCCAACTTGACCAGCACACTTGTATAGAAACTGGGACTTACTCGAAGAGCTGCTCGACCGCCGCAGACGCCTCTTCCAAAACAGCATTGCGTTCCTCCTCTTTTGGCGCTGATAAGATCTGTCCGCCGACTGCTGATTGGTTTCGTTATGTGATCACTCGCTATGCGGGTGTGGGTCTGTTGCGAAATGCTCTCAGGCTCTGCCGCCCGGAGCACCGATTAGCATAAGTTACGAATCACTCAGGAACCGAGTTCCGCGCCGAATTGTATCTTTCAGATACAGCCGCAGACGACGCAACTGCACTTGCGCGACGCGCACGACAAATTGAGACATTAGCTGCCGGCCAGCGAGGAAAGTTAGCCCGAGCTATATGGAGCGTTTTCGATTGTGGTCTCGGGTGCCCACTGCTGTCACCTGGTGTCACCTGAGGTGCGCTCAATTAGCCGCCCGGTTTCAGCACTTCCGTTAAGCCGCGCAACTGCCGCTTGGCACTCGGACTTCTGGCCCGCTCGACGGTTAATTAACGAATAAAAAGTCGCTTTGCTGCCTCGAAAAAAATCTCCGAGCTACGAGCTCTGCTGCTCGCTGGTCTTTCACGCTCCGTGCCACAATGAAAACGAACAAGAAATATGTTACACCGAAACTCCGGGCGGCGCAGTCGGCGCTCCAAGGGGAAGTCATCGCACATTGGGGCCAGTGGGGACATAAAACAGGTGTAAAACCGAAGCGATCTGAGTGCCAGCGAGCGACTAGTGGATCATGGCCCGTGTGAAGATCGAGCTGGCCAGCGCGTTTTATGGGTTTCCAGGGTGTGGACACAATTAGATGTTTGTAAAAACGAGCGTTTTATTCCCTCTTTAAACTGAGCCCACTCTCCTGAATCATTTCCCGCTGTACGGCGACAAAGATATTAATTATTTCACAAATACTGCGGAAACTTGGCTAAAAGCTGGCTGGAATTTTGGCAGCTTTACTTGCTGACAAGCTGCCAAGTCCATTAAAAAGCTATCATGGAATAGAGTCTTAAATTCTTCAGTTGCTCGCCTTAACATGTAGTTCTTAAAAATTATTAATACATTTTAACAAAGTTGCAAAGATGGACGGCTTAATTCAGTGTGGCGCCGACTGCGCAGTCGCGGCCGCAGTCGACGTCGGCTGCGCCGCCGGCGTTGCGTTGGTGGCGGTTCACTGAATTTCGCTGACTGCAGCGCTTGTGGCTGCCCCAAAATGTGTATCAGCACAACAACAACAACAACAACAACGAGAACGACAGTCTTGCCAAATTAACCAACAACAATGATCGCTGGCTCGTGCAGAGTTCACAATGCACGCAATTGTTTATAGCCCTCTTGGACTTGTTTTCTTTGACTCTTAACTCTTAACTCTTACCTCTCCTTTCTTAACTCTTTCTTTTCAGCTGGCTACCTGCACATTTATTACTTAACGCTTTGATGCGTTGATGGCTTGATGGTCTGTTCTTCTTGGCCAGCATTGGCCTGCTGCCCGGTTGCCCCTCCAGTTGGCATAGTGCACTTGGCCATCCCCGCTTGGTTTGGGCCTCATAATCAGCCCTTCTGCCACATGTTCATCAAGCGAATCTGCGTAGCGAAGCATAAAGCCAAATTAACATAAGCCACTTCTCCCTGACTTCTTCTATAACCACACGGAGAATTGCTCTGCTTTTTAAACAGGGCAAACTTCAGTTCAAGATTGTCATATCAATTAGTTGTGATATTTCTTATTAAAGTAATTTCCCTGTAGATACGTCTATGTTTCCACAGCTGGGTACTACCATTAAAAATCGTATTCGTATTCATATTTGGTTCTCAATCCAACCCCGTTTTCGTGCAGTGTGCTGCATGGCCTGCCGCGCGCAATCGCCCACTTGGCCAAGTGCTCCTCCTCCACCGCCGCTCATCTTTCGGCCATTTAAAGGCTATGTGGCGGAATTAAAGACCCTTTGCTATTACCATTTTACCAGTTACTATTTAACTATCTTCCGCCTGCTATTCTTCTGCTGCCGCCATCGCACCGGCAAATTGCTTTTGGTACGCGTCTAATTGGAATACGAATACGGATTTCATTTGTTGCCAGTTTGTAGTTTGTTGGTAGTGGCTTGTTTTCCATTTCTCCGGTTCGGAGGTCACAAGCCGCGGAAGTTATTGGATTCACCAAGTAAATTGCTCTATAAGACAACTGTAATGACTTATGTTTTCCCTCGCTATATATTTAAGTAACCTCTTGTGATGCGCTTTTGTTGCGCGATTTAAATGTGAGTTATAAATATTTATGGACGCAATGGGCGCAGTCATGTGTAAGCCGTTAATGGAATTCCATGTTGCAAGCCGAATGCAACTACGGCACCTGGTAGTTATGGCACCCATATATTGTAACCACTATTGTTGCGTTGCCATGTCTGCAGCCGCAGCAAACAAGCTGGAAAAACAACGGCACGCGCGCCTCCCAATCATTTGGGGATTTGAGGATTTGAGGAGGATGTCGCGCCCTTTGACGAAGGATTACCGCACGGCGGACTTCGAGCAGCTGAGCAGGATGATCAAGGAGCATCCGCTGATGAAGGATGCCGGCGCGGAGCAGCAGCATCTCCACAAGCTCCGCACTCCGGAGTACCGAACGAAGTGCGTGATGCGGGCTTCCTTGGATGACATTGCCCTGGGGGTGAGTGCCTTCCTTCCTTCCAGTGCCGAAAGAAATCCATCAATCTAGTGTGTTGTGCCGCTAGATCAATCTCTACAAGCTGCAGCTGGACAAGCCCATGTCGCCCACCTTGGAGGAACCGGAACCGGATTATCTAAAGGAGCCGGCTGCCTCCGCCCGCTCCGCCCACTCCGCACGTCCTCCAGCCACGCCCTTCATCAAGGTGCTGCTCCGAAAGAGTCCCATCGTGGTCCTCTTCGAGCGTCGCAGCATGACCGCCCTGGCGGACACGGAGGAGGGTCGCCAGGTGATGGAGGACAACCGGAAGTACGACGAGCTGCTCTCGGGAACGGACAAAACGCGTAGAACCGTGGATGCGGACACCCAAACCATGACGGCGCTGATGAAGTCCAGGCTGGTGAACACCGAGCGGCTGACCACCGCCCAGCTGGGTTCCTATGTGTCCAACTTCGAGATGTACGACACGTACAAGGACCTGCAGAAGTCCACCACGAGTGTCCAGGTGCAGGGCGAGAAGAAGCTGGAGATAACCACCTACCACGTGGACGGAGTGGATCAGTTCGTCGGCATCAACAGTCTGCCCGGCTTCCGACTGGCCCTCATGCTGACCATGCGCATCCTGGCCAGCAATGTGTTCGAGCCCCAGCAGCGCAGGTACCGCAACATGGCGCCTCCCGATCCCTTGGCTGAGGACGTGAAGTTCAAGTACCGGCTGGGCCTGCTGTGGAGACTGAGCCCACCCTCGTCCAGTCCCAAGGTCCACCAGGCGGTGAGCGACATGAGCTTCTGTCCCAGTAACGGGGACATCATAGCGGTGGCCTACGGGGTGTATAGCCACGGCAAGATCGGACAGCTGCCCAGATCCGGATGGGTCTACGTGTGGAACATCAAGAACCCTGTGAACCCGGAACGACGTTACGACTACCAAGTGCCCGTGGTCACTGTGGAGTTTTCACCCACCCAACCCCAACTGCTGGCCATTGGACTGCACAATGGCGGTGTGGAGGTGAGGGATATTTCTGGACAGAATCTGCCCCCACTAGCTGTGTCCCAGCGCTCAACCTCGCCCCACTTCGAGCCAGTCACCGCCATCAAGTGGATCTACTTCGAGGGCGACGTTGGGTCCAGGAATCCGCACATCACGCCCTTTCTGGCCACCTCGCAGGCGGGAGCGGTGACCAAGTACCGGCTGATCAACAGTCCCAGAATGCTGGGATTGGAGCAGCAGCGCTTGCAGCGGGCGGAGGGCGAGCTGGAGGGGATTCCCATAGAGCGGCAGCCACCGGCGGCCTCCCTGCTGGCCAACAGGCATCCGCAGTGCCTGGAGATAGTGCTCGATCCTGTCCAGGCGGACATATACTACGTGCTGACCGACGAGGGCACCCTGTACAAGTGCTCCACGAACTACCCGCTGCAGCATCTGGAACTGAGGCAGGTGCACGATGGGCCCGCCGCCTGCATGGAGTTCTCTCCCTGGTCACCGAGGATGTACCTCACTTGCGGCAGTGACTGGTGAGCACTACTACTACTACTAGTGCTTTGTCCCGAGTTTCGCTATTCTCACTCACCATCCACCCCACCAGGTGCATTCGAATCTGGCTGGCTGGCATCCTGCTGCCCATCGTGACCCTCCAGCACCACCTGTCCCCGGTGCACTGCGCCCGCTGGAGCCGCACCCACTCCACCATCCTGGTCTCCCTCAGTCGCAGCACCGTGGACATCTGGGACCTGCGCAACAGCACCATGAAGCCGGTGTCCTCCACTGCGATAGATGCCGACATCTTCTACACCACCTTCAAGTGAGTTCGGGCCATCTCATTGGGTGATCCTTTTGTGAATGATCCCTTGCCTTCCAGGTTCACCCACTGCGGTCGCTCGCTGGCCGTGGGCAACGAGGCGGGCAACCTGCTGATGCTGTCCCTCGAGGACATGCCCTTCCCGCCGCACTTTCAGTACAAGCAGCTGAAAAGAGCCATCTTCAAGGCCCTCTCCATGCAACCCGATCTCCGCAAGCAGGTGAGGAGCGTCGGATACTTCGGCTACCCGGGTGGGCGAAAGCAAACGAGGGCTTGATTAGTTCCACCACGCTATTATAGACCTAAGCCACATGTATGTGTACCGCGATAGACACAAATAGAGCCACTCATTACCAAACTACTGCCAATGCTTTGGCTTTTCCTTTCGGGCTTGAAGGTTTAATTCCAGTGATATGGGCACCTTGAGGCCTTCTCCCTATCGGAACCAACCCACACCCGAGCTGCTCTTATCAAGCACCTGCGTTTGCAATGCAAAGCACGGGGTGTAAGGTAGCTGCCGGCACCTTGGGCATGTGATAGCCACCAAGTTCAAGCCGACCGAGCTTGTGGTTTGCGGCGGAGGCGATGACGACCACGACGACGTGGCTGGCTGGCTGTCTGGCTTTCCCAGCTCGAGGTGCCCAGTTAGTTGGAATAGAGACGTCCGCCATGCCCCATCGACTGCGGCAGAACCTGCTGTTGCCCAATCCGCCCACGGTGGTCATGCACGATCCTCGCACCCACCTGCGGCACCTGCCCCCCGCCTACAGTGCCGCCCAGACTCCGCTGAGCCGGGAACGGGACTTTGGGCCGCAGGTGCGCTACCACCTGGAGGCGCCTCGCAAGCCCAAGTTCCGACCCTGCAAGGTCATCTTCGTGGGCGACTGCTCCGTGGGCAAGACGGCCATCGTCAATCGGTGAGCATAGCATGGCACAAGCATATTTTGGTTAATTGAGTACACAATCATCTGCAGCTTTTGCTACGACAAATTCCAGTCGAACTACAAGGCCACCATTGGCGTGGACTTCGAGCTGGAGAACTTCAGCATTCTGGGTCACAACTATAGTCTAGAAATGTGGGTCAACTGCCCAGCAGACGTTATCAGTGTGGATTTGAAGTGTGTTCTATTTGCAGGTGGGACACCGCTGGTCAGGAGCGTTTCAGGTGCATCGCAGGAGCCTATTATCGCAATGCAAGTGGTGGGTACCAGCTATTCAATCATTAGGAGAGAGTTTTAATGTTACTAATTCGCCACACAAGTGATTGTGGTTACCTATGACATGTCGAAGAGGGATTCGCTGGAGTCGGCCAAAAAATGGCTGAGCAGCGCACTCAACTACAACGCAAGCAAGAGACCCTTGGTGTTTCTGGTGGGCACAAAAGCAGATCTCTTGGTAAACCAACTTCCCATTAGTAGGTTCAAGTAACAACACCTACTTTTCAGACGAAGGAGGAGTTCGTGCGCATGGAACGACTGGCCGCAGTGGCTGCCTCTGAGCTTCAGGCGGAATATTGGTCCGTTTCCGCCCGATCTGGTTTCAAAGTCACTGAGCTCTTCCAAAGGATCGCTGGCCTGGCTTTTGAGGAAGCTGCAACGCAGGAAATTAGGTCACTTAAGAGTAAGCCTCAGGAACAGGCAACTCAGGCGTCTGCTAAATCGCAAACTTTTGGTGAGCTTCTTTTGGAAAATAGTAAGCCTTTCACTTACCATGCATTCTTTTTCTAGATTTACGTAACTTCTTTGGTAGCCGCCTATCGCCACAGAAAAGTGGCTGTGCTTGCTAGACTTACTTATATTCTTAGTTTAACGTAAGGCATTGAATAAAACATTTATAAATTACCTTAAAACATATTGGTTTGCTCGTTCGATTTTAATTTAAATTAAAACTAGATACAACTGCTGAGTTATGGAGTTTAGAACTTCAGCTTAGGGGCATTTTTAAATTCTTTTGACTTTCTACAACATCATATCAAAAAAATTACAAAAAATTACAAAAAAATTAAAAAAAAATAAATTTCTAAATTTGAATGCAGATTTTTAGAGAATGGCTCCAGAAACATTTAGAGGTATGCCACTTCAAAATCCGATGAAGATAAGTTGAGTTATGGAGTTTAGAACTTCAGCTTTGGGACATTTTTAATTTTTTTCAAATTCTACATCATAACATCAAAAAAATTACAAAAAAATTCAAAAAAAAATAAATTTCTAAATTTGAATGCAGATTTTTAGAGAATGGCTCCAGAAACATTTAGAGGTATGCCACTTCAAAATCCGATGAAGATAAGTTGAGTTATGGAGTTTAGAACTTGAGCTTTGGTACATTTTTTCATTTCTTGAGTTTCTGCAACATCATAACATCAAAAAAATTACAAAAAAATTCAAAAAAAATAAATTTCTAAATTTGAATGCAGATTTTTAGAGAATGGCTCCAGAAACATTTAGAGGTATGCCACTTCAAAATCCGATGAAGATAAGTTGAGTTATGGAGTTTAGAACTTCAGCTTTGGGACATTTTTAATTTTTTTCAAATTCTACATCATAACATCAAAAAAATTACAAAAAAATTCAAAAAAAATAAATTTCTAAATTTGAATGCAGATTTTTAGAGAATGGCTCCAGAAACATTTAGAGGTATGCCACTTCAAAATCCGATGAAGATAAGTTGAGTTATGGAGTTTAGAACTTGAGCTTTGGTACATTTTTTCATTTCTTGAGTTTCTGCAACATCATAACATCAAGAAAATTACAAAAAAATTAAAAAAAAATAATTTTCTAAATTTGAATGCAGATTTTTAGAGAATGGCTCCAGAAACATTTAGAGGTATGCCACTTCAAAATCCGATGAAGATAAGTTGAGTTATGGAGTTTTGAACTTGAGCTTTGGTACATTTTTTCATTTCTTGAGTTTCTGCAACATCATAACATCAAGAAAATTACAAAAAAATTTAAAAAAAATAATTTTCTAAATTTGAATGCGGATTTTTAGAGAATGGCTCCAGAAACATTTAGAGGTATGCCACTTCAAAATCCGATGAAGATAAGTTGAGTTATGGAGTTTAGAACTTGAGCTTTGGTACATTTTTTCATTTATTGAGTTTCTGCAACATCATAACATCAAGAAAATTACAAAAAAATTTAAAAAAAATAATTTTCTAAATTTGAATGCAGATTTTTAGAGAATGGCTCCAGAAACATTTAGAGGTATGCCACTTCAAAATCCGATGAAGATAAGTTGAGTTATGGAGTTTAGAACTTGAGCTTTGGTACATTTTTTCATTTCTTGAGTTTCTGCAACATCATAACATCAAAAAAATTACAAAAAATTCAAAAAAAAATAATTTTCTAAATTTGAATGCAGATTTTTAGAGAATGGCTCCAGAAACATTTAGAGGTATGCCACTTCAAAATCCGATGAAGATAAGTTGAGTTATGGAGTTTAGAACTTGAGCTTTGGTACATTTTTTCATTTCTTGAGTTTCTGTAACATCATAACATCAAGAAAATTACAAAAAAATACAAAAAAAAATAATTTTCTAAATTTGAATGCAGATTTTTAGAGAATGGCTCCAGAAACATTTAGAAGTATGCCACTTCAAAATCCGATGAAGATAAGTTGAGTTATGAAGTTTAGAACTTGAGCTTTGGTACATTTTTTCATTTCTTGAGTTTCTGCAACATCATAACATCAAAAAAATTACAAAAAAATTCAAAAAAAATAAATTTCTAAATTTGAATGCAGATTTTTAGAGAATGACTCCAGAAACATTTAGAGGTATGCCACTTCAAAATCTGATGAAGATAAGTTGAGTTATGGAGTTTAGAACTTCAGCTTTGGGACATTTTTTCATTTCTTGAGTTTCTGCAACATCATAACATCAAAAAAATTACAAAAAAATTCAAAAAAAATAAATTTCAAAATTTGAATGCAGATTTTTAGAGAATGGCTCCAGAAACATTTAGAGGTATGCCACTTCAAAATCCGATGAAGATAAGTTGAGTTATGGAGTTTAGAACTTGAGCTTTGGTACATTTTTTCATTTCTTGAGTTTCTGCAACATCATAACATCAAGAAAATTACAAAAAAATTAAAAAAAAATAATTTTCTAAATTTGAATGCAGATTTTTAGAGAATGGCTCCAGAAACATTTAGAGGTATGCCACTTCAAAATCCGATGAAGATAAGTTGAGTTATGGAGTTTAGAACTTCAGCTTTGGGACATTTTTTCATTTCTTGAGTTTCTGCAACATCATAACATCAAAAAAATTACAAAAAAATTCAAAAAAAATAAATTTCAAAATTTGAATGCAGATTTTTAGAGAATGGCTCCAGAAACATTTAGAGGTATGCCACTTCAAAATCCGATGAAGATAAGTTGAGTTATGGAGTTTAGAACTTGAGCTTTGGTACATTTTTTCATTTCTTGAGTTTCTGCAACATCATAACATCAAGAAAATTACAAAAAAATTAAAAAAAAATAATTTTCTAAATTTGAATGCAGATTTTTAGAGAATGGCTCCAGAAACATTTAGAGGTATGCCACTTCAAAATCCGATGAAGATAAGTTGAGTTATGGAGTTTAGAACTTGAGCTTTGGTACATTTTTTCATTTCTTGAGTTTCTGCAACATCATAACATCAAGAAAATTACAAAAAAATTAAAAAAAAATAATTTTCTAAATTTGAATGCAGATTTTTAGAGAATGGCTCCAGAAACATTTAGAGGTATGCCACTTCAAAATCCGATGAAGATAAGTTGAGTTATGGAGTTTAGAACTTCAGCTTTGGGACATTTTTTCATTTCTTGAGTTTCTGCAACATCATAACATCAAAAAAATTACAAAAAAATTCAAAAAAAATAAATTTCAAAATTTGAATGCAGATTTTTAGAGAATGGCTCCAGAAACATTTAGAGGTATGCCACTTCAAAATCCGATGAAGATAAGTTGAGTTATGGAGTTTAGAACTTGAGCTTTGGTACATTTTTTCATTTCTTGAGTTTCTGCAACATCATAACATCAAAAAAATTACAAAAAAATTCAAAAAAAATAAATTTCTAAATTTGAATGCAGATTTTTAGAGAATGGCTCCAGAAACATTTAGAGGTATGCCACTTCAAAATCCGATGAAGATAAGTTGAGTTATGGAGTTTAGAACTTGAGCTTTGGTACATTTTTTCATTTCTTGAGTTTCTGCAACATCATAACATCAAGAAAATTACAAAAAAATTAAAAAAAAATAATTTTCTAAATTTGAATGCAGATTTTTAGAGAATGGCTCCAGAAACATTTAGAGGTATGCCACTTCAAAATCCGATGAAGATAAGTTGAGTTATGGAG